AAGGTAAAATCGGTGTGCCTCTTACTCTTCTCTTTACTTCTCGTTTATTCATTTTTTATTCCTGCGATTTCTTGATCAAACGCTATTCACCCCCCTCTAGCGTTGGTCTATTATTCTAACAGTTAGGCCACTATTTGATTATGTTGGATATCTTGTTTAATGCATTGTGGATTTATGAATGTTAAATTATCCATTGATTAATGAATGTTGGATATATCACCTAGAAAATTTTTAGGAAATGACCTGAATGGATTAGTTGCAAGGTATGCCACACGTATAGTAAGTTAGAGCCATGTGGTACCTGGTGGGTCCAATGGTTGTTCTGGTAAAAACGTGTACACAGGAATCTAAGAACTTTCTAGGAAATGACATGTATGTATGTATGTATGTATGTATGTATGTATGTATGTATGTATGTATGTATGTATGTATGTATGTATGTATGTATGTATATGTATGTATGTATGTATGCATGGATGCATGGCTGTTATGTATGTATGTATGTATCCATTTAGCAGCACTCGTTTCTCTTTTAAAAATTCTGGGACACCGATATCTTCAAGGACCTCCAAAGTAAGACCCTTTATTCCAATTTCTGGCATTATATGCAAATTGAGCTTTTCCCTTTGAATGGAAGAGAATAGCATTTCATTTTGATTGATAAGTCTAAGTAGAAGACATAATATCTGTATATTTTTGAAAATGAAGCGAATAAAGAAACTGAGAACCAGCAAAACGATGAAAGTGAGGACGACCCCCAACTAGCATATATCAGATCTTTTATGAAAAAGCATTTACTTTTTCAATTACGAGGGGAGTCTACTTTGAAAAAAAGTGGTTTCAAAAATATACAGATATTATGTCTTCTACTTAGACTTATCAATCAAAATGAAATGCTATTCTCTTCCATTCAAAGGGAAAAGCTCAATTTGCATATAATGCCAGAAATTGGAATAAAGGATCTTACTTTGGAGGTCCTTGAAGATATCGGTGTCCCAGAATTTTTAAAAGAGAAACGAGTGCTGCTAAAATAAACAAATAAGTAACTCCAAGTCTAAATATTCTTTCATTGATTGGATGGGACTGAATGAAGAACTTTTAAAGCATCCTGTGACAAATTTGGAATTATGGTTTTTTCCAGAATTTGTGGCACTTCTTAACATATACAAACTGAAACCATGGGTTTTACAAAGCCAATTACTCCTTTCAAAATTAACGTTCAATAAACTTTCAAGTCAACAACAAAATCAAACTACGACAAAAATCAAGACTGAGACTAAAAATGAACAGAAAAATAAGGTTGAAAATGACGAGAATAAAGAACTGAGAACCAACAGAATGCTGAGACTAAAAATAAGCAGAAAAGTAAAACTGAAAATGAAGCGAATAAAGAAACTGAGAACCAGCAAAACGATGAAAGTGAGGACGACCCCCAACTAGCATATATCAGATCTTTTATGAAAAAGCATTTACTTTTTCAATTACGAGGGGAGTCTACTTTGAAAAAAGTGGTTTCAAAAATATACAGATATTATGTCTTCTACTTAGACTTATCAATCAAAATGAAATGCTATTCTCTTCCATTCAAAGGGAAAAGCTCAATTTGCATATAATGCCAGAAATTGGAATAAAGGATCTTACTTTGGAGGTCCTTGAAGATATCGGTGTCCCAGAATTTTTAAAAGAGAAACGAGTGAACTTTGAGCCTTTTCCTTTGTATATTAATAAGAATGGAAAATTTCTTATCTATCAACTTTTAAATATGTCATTGGTTCATAAGATAAAATATCCGACTAATAATGAATCTCGAAACCAGGGAGTCATTACAACTCAAAAGAACAATAATGCGGCTTCTCATATTCCAGAAAATATTTTATCATCCAGACGTCGTAGAGAATTACGAATTTTAATGTGTTTAAATCCAAACAAAAAAAAGTGCGAAGGTACAGAAGCTACTAATAAATCTTTCAGCTATAAAAAAAATGTGCGAAAGTTTGGGAAGAGCAAAAAAGCACTATAGAATTATTTATTTGGCCCAATTCACGATTCGAAGATTTAACTTGCATGAATCGGTATTGGTTTTATACTAATAATGGAAGTCGTTTAAGTATTTTAAGAATTTTTATGTACTTACCCTTGAAAAATTATTAGTAGTATTCGCATCTACCTTGTCTAATTTGTAGCAGGGTAGGTTCCAGCGAAGTAGCTGACTGAATTGAGGATAAAACTTAGCTTAGTAAATATTAACACTTTTTTTTAGTATATTTTCTATTTTAGGAATCAAGTTTTAATTGAACGTAAAATTTAAATTACAACTACTAAAAAGTAGATTTAACGCGTTAAATCTATAGTGGTTAAGTGAAAAGGAATCTTTTTTTATGATAAAAACAATCTTTATTTCTACAAAAGAGAATACAGGGTCCATTGAATTTCAGATAGTAAATTTTACCAAAAAAATATGCAAACTTACCAACCATTTAAAACTTCACAAAAAAGACTATTTATCACAAAGAGGTTTGCGTCAAATGTTGGGAAAACGTCAACGGCTATTAATTTATTTGTCAAAAATAAATCTAACGTCTTATAATGATTTAATTTTAAAATTAAAAATTCGTGAAGCAAAAAAAGATTTATTTTAAATTTCAGACCTTTTGAAATCTTTTCTTTAGTTTTCTTTCCCTAGTATCATAAAAATAGAAAATAAAATTCAGCTTGAACAATAACTTCAAAAAAAAACCAATAGAAACCATTAACTAATTCTACTTTCAAATTTTACTTTGAATAGTGCCAGATTCAAAAACAAGAAGTTACACGAAAAATAAAAAATATTTATACCAAAAGTTGACAAAAACATCAGAAATAAAAATGAAAAGCCTTTATTTAAATTTTTTTTTCAAACATCTATTTTAACATATCTGATATCCTCTTCATTTTTGAATTTCTGAAAAGGGTGATAAATCCATTGAATCTTCTAGTTATATAAAGTAAATAAAGTTTTTAGTTTTAAAAATTGAAATAGATTAAAAGATTATTAGTTTCTTAAATAAATAAATCCAATGTCACATTCTGTAAAGGTTTATGATACATGTATAGGCTGTACTCAATGTGTTCGAGCCTGCCCTACCGATGTTTTAGAAATGATACCGTGGGATGGATGTAAGGCTAAACAAATTGCCTCAGCTCCAAGAACTAAAGACTGCTGTACTGCGCTCT